GTGGCTAGCTCTGCCTTCTTTGGGTTTTTGAGAGTGGAGCCTCATGCCTGCAGGCCCTAGTCTGGAACTGGTCTATCCACCCCAACTCCAGTAGGCACTTCTACCTGGTCTCCTGCCACTGATGAGTACACCATCTGCTATTCATAAACCCCATTCCAGTTCTTGATAGCAAGTCCTCTCAAGAGAGCTGCACCTCTGCATGATGCTTCCAAGCCTACTCAGAACTCTTTCTCTGGCTTTCTCAGGCCCTATGTGGATTTATATGACCCATGTTTAGTGCCAACTGTAATGAGTCTTTTTCTGTTCTGTAAGCCAGCTCCCAAATAATGACATGGAGATTTCTTATTAATTATAGCTCAACCTTTAGCTTAGTCTTGTCTCAACCTAAACTTAAATTAACCTACTTATATTAATCTATGTTCTGTCATGTGGCATTCCTACTCTTAAGGTTTGTACCTCCTGTTTCCTCTGTCTCCTGGCTTCTCCAGCTTTCTTCTTCCCAGAACCCTCTCTGCCCAGAAGTCCCGCCTATACCACCTGGCAAGCTATTGGCCATTCAGCTTTTCATTACATCAATCAGAGCAATACACCTTCACACAGTGTACAAATATCCCACAACAGAGAGGTCAGGTGATTTACACCGGTTCCAGCTGCTGACATAGCCAGAACAGGACTCCAATGGTGAGAGTCTAGAGTTCTTTACCCCAACTCTACTATGCCTTTGTCTTTCAGCTATATGGGACAACTGCATTCTCAAGTGTGACAAATATCCCACCTAAACTTGCCCCGTAACATAAGATTCATCACACAACATAATAGCTTCACTCACTCCTTCACCATGTTGGAAGGAAATTATCCAAATAATCCACTTCAGAATATTTGGAAATGTATTCCTTCTACAGACTTATTCCTAAATATACTCACTCATCTGAATCTCAGGCACTCCCTCCCTAAACTTCAGGTACACACCTAGGCATGTGCATTAGCCAGCATGAGATCAGCAACTGGTGACACACTGGAATGTATTTGAAAAGAATCAAATCTATGGAGAGTGAGTTTGATGACCATGGCATGTCTATGTTCTCCCTAGAGCGTGAGTTTTGCATTGAGCCTCACGAGCGACACATGAACTTTAAGGTGTGAACGAGTTATCAAGAGCTGGAAGATGACACAATGAAATAGGAAAATAAACTATATATTACACTTATGACAAGACACAGTATTTCTATTTTTCCTTTGGAAGGAAGAGAATAATCTTTGTAGAAAACTGTAAGGGAGATGACTTTAAAATAAATAAGAACATAGCATCCTGCCTGGCCCCTAAGCTCTTCAAGTCTGTAAACTGCAGTAAAGCCTCAGAGCTACCCGGATCCCTAGACCCTCTCTCTCACCAGTCTAAGTGTTTTCAACTCCAGACCTCGGTATTGTTTTCATTATTTTATGCTGCCTAATAAATTACCAGCAATGTACTGGTTTAGAATATTTATTATGTGCAGCACCGCATGATCAGTGAAGGATGGTAAATTTCTGTCAGAATAACTCACACCCATTGATTGTGCGTGAACCCGGGCTTTGGCTTTATTAACTGGCTCTGAAGGAGAGGGGAGAGTAAAAACCTCAGTCCTTCCTGATTTGTCTATTCCTCCCTGTCAATTCCATTTCCAAAGAACGCACAGGGTTTTCTAAGGAGACCCCACCCTCGCCACTGCCACATGCACAAGATTCATGTGCTCCTCCTAGAGCAGTATTTTCCACAAAAGGATTGCAATTCACTGGAAATCTGGTTCCATCACTCTAGAAGAGTGAGTGTGTGTGTGTTTATCTCTTATAAATTCAACAGATTAAAAAGACTTTAAAAACAGAAGACTGGCAAAAGCCATGGCATATTTTATCATTAATTGTTTTCTTAAATTTTGGAAATTATTCTTGTTAAAATTCTGGAGCATATGTTGGGACTGTGATAAGTATATACTATTCTGTTGTTTTAGTCCTCCTTGTCAATGCACAAAATTTAATATTTCTAACGTATCTAAGCCAGGCCCTGAAAAATGAGCATCAGTTAGACGTAGCCTATATCCAAGGTGAGATTGACACACAATAATAAATGTGTGAAGAATAATACACTTCAAGCATAACATTTTACACTCAAATTAGTACATGACCAAAAAAGCAACACAACTAAGTAAGTAATTACAGCTCACTGCTAGAAAAATAGGCTGTTTAGAAAGTGAATGTCCTTGTCTGGATCATATAAAGAATATATCCAGTTACTAAGATGTGAAGAAATTAATGTAAAACACTGGAAAATGTAATAAATATTTAGCTTTCTTTTTTTTATTCTTTTTTTTAATTTAGATAAGAAACAAGGTTGCTTCACAAGTCAGTTCCAGGTCCCTCTCCTTTTCCCTCCCCTCCTCCCGTGCCCTCCCCCCATTCCCCCCCCCCCGTTATCCCTTCATTCCCCCCGGGAGGGTGAGGCCCTCCATGGGGGTGTCCATAGTCTGTCATTTCATATAGGGCAGGGCCTAGACCCTTCCCCAAGAGTTCAGGGTGAGAGTGCACCTCACATTGTTCTATGGGAGTCCAAAGTCCGTGTGTATACTTGGTATGGGTACTGATCTGCTGCCCAAGGCTCAATAGATTACCTAGGCCTCCTCACTGACACCCAGATTCAGAGGGTCTTGATCAGTCCCATGCTGGATTCCCAGGCTGATGCCTGGGATTCAAGAGTTAACCTTTGTCTGGTCAGCTGTTTCTGGGGGTTAAACCAGCCCAGTCTTAATCCCTTTGATCATCAGTCCTCCCTCTCTGATACTGGCTTTCTTGAGTTCAGCTCAGTACTTAACCAGCCACTAAATGCAGTAATATTTAGCTTTCTTTGTGAGCAAAAATTTCTAATGAATAGAAGAAGGCATATAGATAATGATTAGTTGTTTTAAGAGATAATTTTTAATTTCCAAATATTTTAAACATAGAATAGATTTAATTTAAAAAGTATTAAAGATACATTTCATAAAATCTAGTATGTCAAATACTACCTAGGTTGGGAAGGCTTATATTTAGTAAGAAAAATGCACAAAAATCAGTATTATTATAATTGGAAAAGAAAATAAACAGATTTAAGAAATAAACATAAATGGCCAGGAGGTGGTGGCACACACCTTTAATCCCAGCACTCGGAAGACAGAGACAGGTGGATCTCTGTGAGTCTGAGACCAACCTGGTCTACAAGACCTAGTTCTAGGGCAGCCTCCAGAGTCACAGAGAAACCCTGTCTCAAAAAACAAAAAAAGAAAAGAAATAAACATAGATGATTAAATGCAAATGAAATGTCCTATGTCCACAGTCCAACCAAATTTAAATCAAAATATACTTTTTTGAAGAGTCATATCTACTTTCAATATGTACAGACTTTCCCTTGTCATCATTCCTTATAACACAAAACAACAATGTTTATGACTCTTTTACGTCATATTTGGCAGCAGTAGAATTTTAATAATTATGTAAGGTTTACAGGAAGCTCTCCATGGGCCATATGCAAATACTATAACATGTTATGGGTCATAGGTGAGCTCTGGCAGATTGGGATATCCACAGAATTCCTGGAACCAGATCACCCATCCAGCAAAGAAAAGTAGGATCTTTTTCTGAAAATTAAATACTAGCTTTATAAATACTTTCTCAACTATCATATTGAAAGACTTTAAGAACAAAAACATTCAGCTGCAATGAAGATATGAAAGAATGACCTCAAATATTGCACCATGCAGGCTCGAAAGATGGGTCAGTTGGAACTGTGTTTGCTCTGCAAGAATGAAGACCTGAGTTTGGATCTCTAGAATCTAAATAAAAGTTCAGGCAGGGTGGCAGCTGCTAATAACCCCATCACAATCACAATGGGAGACAGAAGGAAATGATCCCTGGAAGTTTGTCAGTCACCTAGCCTGACATGCAAAATTCCAAGCAATAAGAGAACCAACCTGTCTCAAACAAACAGGAAAGGTTCCTGAGAAATGGCCCCTGAGGGTGTTCCCTGATGTCTGCACACACTGCACAGAACCTATACCCACATCTACAAACACACATATCAATGTTCAAAAATACACATCACATGCAAAGCTGCATTGTACTACGTGTAAGTTAGTGAAATGTTTCTTAGTCTGGTGGTAATTATCAACAAACTTTAGGGACCATTAGACATCCCAGCTAAATAACCTGTCTTCTAGAGACCTTGCCAAAGTCACTGAAAGGAAGGTGAATGACAGGCTGTATGTCATGTTAGCATTTGTAGACAAGTATTTTAATGCTGAAAGTACTGGCATCTTCATGAAGGAATATTATGGGGCTGTCTTTATAATCACAATTTAAAGAAACAGTCTATGTCTTGAAATGATGCTTCCAGTATACATATAAAAAATTATGGTTCATAAAACATAGCATCTTCACAATGTGAATGAAGAAGCATATGTATTTTTTATTTAACTTTTTACACATTACTCTCAGTTCCCTCTCCCTCCCCTTCTCCCCCGGGCCCCCAATCCTCCCAATCCCCCAACCCACTCCATCTCCCCTCTGCTCCCCAGGGAGGGTAAAGGTTTCCATAAGGGATTTTCAGAGTCTGTCATATCATCCTGGGCAGGGCCTAGGTCCTCCCCCATCTGTCATATCATCCAGGGCAGGGCCTAGGTCCTCCTCCATGTGTCCAGGCTGAGAGAGCATCCTTCCATGTGGAATGGGCTCCCAGAGTCTGTTTGTGTGCCAGGAATAAATACTGCTCTCCTCTCCAAGGTCCTATAGATTGCCAAGGCCTCTTCTCTAACATCCAAGTTCAGGGATGGGGGGGTGTCTAGATCAGTCCCATACTGGCCTCTCAGTCATCAGTCTGGGGTCCATGTGTTCCCCCTTGTTTAAGTCAGTTGCCTCTGTGGGTTTCACCAGTCTGATCTTGAGTCCTTTGATTATCACTCCTCTTTGCATCTGGGTTCCAGGAGTTCAATTCGGTTTTTAGTTGTGGGTGTCTGTCTCTGCTTCCGTCAGCCACTGGATGAGGGTTCTAGGATGTTAAAAAAGGTAGTCATCAATCTCATTATCAAGGGAGGGCACTTAAGGTAGCCTTAATGCCAGTTGGTGTCATTTTTGTAGATCTGTGAAGATCTCACAAGTGCCAGATCCCTTCTCCAACTTATAATGGCTCTCTCTATTATGGTATCTCTCATCCTTCTTTCCTCTACTCCTACTCTGGCTGAACCTTCCTGCTCTCCCATGTCCTCCTCTCCCCTCCTCTTTTTCCCCTCTCTTTCTCCCATCTCTTTCTATGCTCCGCCCACTCCCAGTCCAATTAGGAGATCTCGTCCCAGTCCGATAGCCCTTCTCCCTTTCTGGGTTATCATGCATACCTCTCTTAGGGTTCTCCCTGCTTCCCTGACTCTCTGGTGGTGGGATTGTAGGCTGGCAATGCCTTGCTCCATGCCTAAAATCCATATATGAGAGAGCACATAACATATTTGTCTTTCTGTGACTGGGTTACCTCACTCAGGATGGTCTCTTCTAGTGCCATCCATTTGCCTGCAAATTTCAACATTCCACTTTTTTTTCTGCTGAGTAGTACTCCATTGTGTAAATGTACCACATTTTCTCTATCCACTCTTTGGTTGAGGGCCATCTATGTTGCTTCCAGGTTCTGGCTATTACAAATAATGCTGCTATGAACATAGTGGAACAGATGTCCTTGTTGTATGAGTGTACATCTTTTAGGTATATGCATATGTATACTTTAAAAGGCAATATTTGAGGATCTGAGAGATGGCTCAGTGGTCTAGGAGTGCCGTCTGTTCTTCCAGAGAGCCTGAATTTGATTCCCAGCACCCAAGTTGGGCAACTAACAACTGTCTGTATATCCAGATCCAAGAAGTTTGACATACTCTTCTGGACTCTAAGGACAACTGCACTCAAGTTCACACATCTCCACACAGTCATATACACACAAATACATAATTAAAAAACAAAATAAGGCTGAATTTCATGGTGCACACCTTTAATCCCAGCACTCAGGAGGCAGAGGTAGGCCTCCTGATCTCTGTGAGTTGGGGGCTAGCCTAGTCTACAGAGTGAGTCCAGGACAGTCAGAGCTACCCAGAGAAACCCTGCTTCAAAAAAAAACCAAACAAACAAATAAGTAAATAGAAACTGTAAGCTAATATTTTAATTAAGTACCTCTAAGCAGTAACATTTTAAGTACTTTCCATAGCTTTCTTTATGCTTTGCTATATTTTCTATAATGAGCATGCATATCTCTTATTTCCAGGGAAAACAAGATCTTAATTATGCATGTATTGATATAAACATACTTAAAGTAGAAAAACTAGCTTTCTGGGATCATTTGGAAAACTCAACTCAAGCACTGTATTAAAAAAAAAGCTATGTGACAGACTCTAGAAAGATTTAGAACTTACCAAAAGTGAATTCCTTCAATGAATGATCTGTCCAATATTCTTACTGATCCACAGTTGTCATTGGGTCATCAGACTCTGAGTCTTTCATGTTTCTGCAGGTATTTTTAGTGTAGTACACTTATTTCATGAACAGCCTTGTGAGACATAGTGTCTCCTTCCAAAGCAATAGGCAGGCAGACACAGGTATTTCCAGTGGTGAAGCTGTGGGTGAACTAAGTTCACAACTACCTGATGCATTAGTGTTGTATGACTATAACCCACACTCCCCTGTGAGAAATGAGACCAATGTGTGAATACTTCAAGTAGTAAAGTTCCCTCTGTCTCTCATTCAGAAGTCTTGCCCTCTGAAAAGCTCCACGAAATTGTGACAAGCTAGCTTGCAAGTAGGATAAAGTCTCAAATCCTTTGCAATGCTCAACAATTATTTGATTGCAGACACATCTCTTTGGCTTCGAAAAGTGTTCCTATTAAAATACACTTAGGAGAGCTAGTGCTTAGGCTTTAACGATTATTTATAACTTATTATATAATGGAATTATAAGATCCTTGGTTATAAACAAGCTGAGACAGTGAAGGGGGTGATGTGGGAAGAATGCCAACATCTATTCTCAGCGGCCGAGCTTAGGAGACAGTCTTCCAAGCAAGCCAGAACAGCACAGTATTCTGGGATGGAAATACGAAGAAACAAAATAGGACTACCAAGAGATTTGCCATCATCTTAGAGTATGAGAAGCTGTCACTGAACAAGAGCAAGTGAAGCTATAGGGATAGGATATAGCTTCGTTGTTAGGCTTGCCTACATAGCAGACATAGGGTCCTGCCACCTAAACTTGGCATGGTGGCACTCAAACTGTAATCTTAGCACTTGGAAGGCTAAAGCATTAGGACCAAAAGTTCAGTGTCTTCCTTGACTACATAGCCAGTTCCAGCCTGGGCTACAGAAGACCCTGTCTCCATCATAGAATAAATGAAAAAAATATTTTCAACATACAGCAAATGCACTAACCCTTATAATTGGCCAGGCAAGTCCTGTACCCTGACTCAAGAGAATGTCTGCAATTCTGTGACAGCATGGTGATATGTCACACCAACTGGATGTCAACACTGGGAATTCTGGGTAGTATGTCATAGACTCTGGCAAAATGTGTGTGTATTTACTTGTTTGTTTTTATATTCTTTGACAAGATATTTTGTAATAGTTTGGAGATTTTTAAATGAGAAGAAAATGTGACATTCTCCCCCAGTAAAGAAATTTGTAAGAAAGAGTATAGGAATGATTTACAAACAATTTCAGTTGCATTATGTGTTCAGGGATTAATCCTGTTTTATAGCACATGGCTCCCACCCACTGAGCAACACAACCACACCGTGATGGTATGCACCTTGACATTAAATAAGACCAGTACCAAACAAAGGTTCTGTCAATGTGCTTGCAGCTTGTTTCCCTAACTTATGGTTTCCAGTAAGTTTCTGTCTAAGTCAGAAAAAAAATTACTATGTGAATTAAAATATTTCCTCAACAATTCTTCAAAAACTAATACCCGAGTATTAGTTTTATCTTACATTCTTGCTTCAAATGTTTTGTTATAATCATACCATTAAAGTGCTGAGCAGCGGACAAAGGGAATCCACACATTTGGAGGTTCACAAACATCCCTCTCTGTAATTTCTGAATTAGGAAATGTGCAGTCAGTGCTTCTAAGAGACACCTGTTGTTCAGAATACCAGAGGAAAACCAAATTTAATCTTGAAAATTATCTCCATTGAGATAAGGAAATAATCAAGCCCCAAGAAGGCATTCAGGAAGAGTGTTTGAGCTTGCCTAGGACTGGGTTTTGTTGTTGTTGTTTTGTTTGGTTTTTTTGTTTTGTTTTGTTGTGTTGTGTTTTGGGTTTTTTTGGGTTTTATTTTATTTTATTTTATTGGTTATTTTTGGTTTTTCGAGACAGGGTTTCTCTGTATTGTTTTGGAGCCTGTCCTTGAACTCGCTCTGTAGACCAGGCTGTCCTCAAATTCACAGAGATCCGCCTGCCTCTGCCTAGGACTGTTTTAACTGTAGTGCTGTATCTCTACTCATCTTGCGTAATGGCGTTTATGATGTGGGATTTCCCTAATGACTATTGCTGTTAGTTAGCTCCTTTGTCCTCTCTGCTTGCAGAGAAAAAGAAAGAAAGAAAGGAGGGAAGGAAGGAAGGAAGGAAGGAAGGAAGGAAGGAAGGAAGGAAGGAAGGAAAAGTTCCTGGATTCTTACACAGTATGTGAATCCACTTAACACATTACGATGTCCAATTAATCTTAGCAACATGAGTGATGAATCATTTCTCCAGGTGTTTCCTCAAAAGAAGGAATTTAGTTTCAACATTTGGACCATTGTTTAAACCAACTGTAATCTTGCCAGTGTAATATGGAAGAAATAATTGAATCCAAACCCAGGTACAGAAGTAATAGCACAACGCCTACCTGAGTATCGCTTTCTCTTGGCATTCAGAGGACAATAACAGAATTCCATCATTTGTGTCTCTTTTTGTATTTGATTTGATGGTATCTCCTGCCATCTACTGATAGGTAAAAATGATAAAATAACTTTCCTGAATCATATTGTCATTATGCACAAATGACCACTTGCCAGCTTTTGTTTGAATATGGAAAAGTAACCTACTACATCAAAATTTTCCATCCAGAAACTAGTAAGGTGTCAGTTTCCAGCAGAAAAGCTTTGCTTGTGTTGACAGCAGTTTACCCTGAGACTCACTACAGGCTAGGAAAAGCAGCACTGACTTCATAGCTTTGCAGTCAGGCTGGCTTCTATGCCAGCTTACCCAAAAGCTCAAACCCTTGTTTTCAGTTTATACGTTTTACTCTAAAATAAAAGTATTGGGGATGGAGCACACCTCTTCCTACCTCCAAGATGTTCCATGTTTTACAGGGCATTTGAGTCCTTGATAAATATAATTTCAGAAAACTGATCATTCACAACTTTACAGACAACTTAATTAAAATCCCAGAGTGCCACCCTTTGGTGACAGAGTTCCCCCATTGCCCTCCGAATATGACTCCTCCCCATTTTGTCTGTTACAACCAAGGCCACATACTCAGTCTGTTCCCATGTGCAGTGTCTTTTAGATGCTGTCTGCTGCTGCTCCCTATGTTGATAAACCATCTTCATGGTGAGAGACTTGGCATCCCACAAAACTTTGGAAATGGTGCTGAAGCTGTTAACGGTAAATGTCATCCTCAGCTACCTCTGCAGCTGACCGCAACTCCCAACTGAGCAATAGATATATTCGATTTGTTTTCTAACCTTTGAAGAACAGCCAGTCACAATGACTCTTTACCTACCTAAGGGTACTGGCCTGGAAGCTTCAAATGGCTAGAATACCACTGAGAGCCAAAGAAGGACAAGAAAAAGCCAGAGAGCAATGTTTGTCAACATTCTCCAAAAAGCAGACATGTGAGTTACTAAGCCTGGTTACCTGTCCATGCAGTAGTCTATAGACTTTCTTTTGCCCCCTTCACAGGCACAACTTCTCAATGGAAACAATTTCCAAATCTTACCCAAACTGAATATTAGGAATCCATTGGAGAGGTTCTGTTGGGGGTGGGGAACAGCCACAAGAGGTGACAGTGAAGTCTCTGACAGTAAACAGGAAAGTGGACTTGTGTTCTCCCAGCTAAGAAAGGCAGAGAATGTATAATTAGTCTTAGAAAGGTTACTAGTACAATCTATTGAAGTACTAAATGAACAGAAGTGTTTGCTGTATAAGTTTTAAGTAAGAAAAAAATCACTGTGTAGACTTTCTCAATTCTAGATGCTTTAGATAGACAGCATATACCAATAGCGAAAGAAGTGGAGTCTGACACAGGTGGGTACTTACCTCGACACAGTGTCCCCCACCACACCACACCCAGAAATGCCCTGCAATGTTAGACAAATGTTGGGACTGAACCCAGGGCCTTGCACTTTCTTTCCCTAATGCTAGGTTTACTTGGTACCCATGCTTGCTTCAAACTCACAATCCTCCTGCCTCCCCCACCGGAAGACTGTGCTTAAACAGCTCATGTCATCATGTCTGGCCTTCCAAAGTTTCCAAAGGCAGAGTTTTTCAACTCCAAGTTACTGACTTCCCAGCAAACGTGCCCCTCCCCCTCCTTTACTCTCCTAAACCACGTGTGTTTAAGAGCATAGAGTACTTGTCCCACAAGCCTGGTGACATGAGTGGATGGACAGAATTGACATTATAAAGTTGTCCTCTGACCTACACACATGCACACACGTGCGTGCACACACACACACACACACACACACACACACACAAAACACAGAGAAGAAGAGATGAGGAAGGGGAGAGTTGAATGATTATCTTTTTATTCTTTTTACTCTTTTGGCTTTTTGAGGGGCCCGCCACCCAGCTCCCAAATAAATCACACACTGAAGCTTATTCTTAATTATGTGTGTCCTGCCTTATTTTTACTTCTTTCCAGTCAACTTTTCTTAACTTAATCTACCTACGTTTTCCCTCTGGGCTTTTTTCTTTCTTAGTTCTGTATTTACAACTTTCCTTCTTACTCCGTGGCTACCTTGGTGGCTGGGTGGCTGGGAGGCTGGGGCTAGTCCCTGAAGTTCTCCTCTCCTTGTTCTCTCGTTCCTCCCTCTCTTCTTCGTTTCCTCCTTCTATTTATCCTCTCTGCCTGCCAATCCTTGCTCCTGCCTTGCTATTGGCTGTTCAGCTCTTTATTAGACCATCAGGTGTTTTAGGCAAGCAGAGAATCACAGCTTCACAGAGTTAAAAAAAATACAGCATAAACAAAAGTCACACACCTTAAAATAATATTATTCCCCAACTGAAGAGAAACACAGTGAATAAAAAAATTAAGTTTTTCCTAGGAGTTCAAATTTTCTCTGATATTGGTCAAACTCATGGTGCCTGCAGAGATTCTGAGACCTCCATATAGTGGCTTCAGCCAGATCACTGCTATGTTTTTTTTTCCTGGTTCTCTGGTATCACATCAAGTTCCAGCTTACTAAATGCCTAGGGACCACAATTTTGAATGTGGCCTTCTTCCCTGGAGGCAAGTCTAAATTCTTGGCAAAAACCTCCCCTCATCCCATTGTCCTGACTCTAGCAGGACTCTGGGTTCAAACATGATGCTAGATCAGATAGTCTCTTGAGTACTCCGTTAGTACTATCCTGTGAAACTCAGTGTGTCAGCAAAGAGAAGAGGGAAAAACCACAATACCAAAGAACGGATTGCAAGACAAAATAAGAATCTACTCTGCCTCCCCCAGATTTGCCCCTTCACTGTCAGGCCCTGGGGTGTGAAGAAGCTCAGCTTGGGAGAAATTTGGCCTACTCTGTAAAGGTCATGAAAGTTTCCAACAGAAAGTGATGACTCATGTTCCATACATCCTGATATTTCAGAGTGTTCAGGAAAAAATGCAGTCCACTCCAACACACCCTCTCTTTCCATGGTTTCTTGCCAGATCGCTTGTGAGTTTCACTACAAAGGGCAGCTCAACAGCCAAGGTGAGGGAAGTTGCTGATGTGAACAAAAGTTCAATGGCAGGGCAGGAGGACGCAGATCCCTCTGTACTCTGTGTTTACCAGATGCGGGTTCATCAACAGAGACCGCTCTCCTGCAAATATGCAGCTCCGTGTTTGGGCATCTTTCAAAGTAGTTTTAGAGGCCGCCTTTCCTCTGGGTCTGGACACACACATGTGCACGCACACACAAACACCAGCTTTGAAACTGTATGGCATTGTCTCTGAACTTGAAACACATCCAGCTTTTGACCTTAACTTCCCAACACTTCAGGAAGCAGGAATTCTCACACCCTCCGGCCTCTTAGTAAAACAAGCCCCTGAGAAACTCTTGCCAAAAGATGCTTGGTTGTACATGCCAAAGATGTATCATTCTCTCCCCTCACTCAAGGCATACAAGATCACACAATCTAGCTCTTGATCAGTCAAGCAATATAACTCTGCAACAGACATACGACACACACGTGTGATCAACTTGCCAGCTGTATTTGAGTCTAGAAAAGATTAACTAAATTTATTTCTCAGGGGTGCGGAGAAACAATCAGCCTCACCCTTCCTTCTTACTTCTATCACAACACTCAACACTCGAATTCCATGACTGGGGGGACTAGTCAAGGTTTACTCTGTTCCGATTCATTTGTACTTAGCAGAGACAAGGATCCTTGACAAGAGGACATGCAGGGAGGGGTGTGGTCCCCAAGGGAAAGCTGGATAACGTTATCAGAGGAAACAGCAATGCATTCTGGGCAGGAGAAAACTTGGGAGATTAGTTTTAAAGCAGTGCAATGTCAAGCTCAGCTAGACCTTCAGAGGTTGTTCAAGGTTACAGAGGAGTGGGATACTTAGTAGCTGTTAACAGCTTTCCTACATATAAGATTATGGCCCTAGAAACAGTAAGGTCCACACTGTTAGAAACCAGGATAGTTTACTGGTTTCCATAGAAAATAAGAGATTCCCCAAAGCCTTTTGTCAATTCTCTGTCAAAATGACAATTGAGCAAGAGATTCTTTTCTTGTCTTTTTTTTTTTAAGACAGGGTATTTTAGTGTAGCCCTGGCTGTCCTGGAACTTCATCTGTACGTCAGGCTGACCTCCAACTCAGAGATCTGCCTGCCTCTGCCTCTGCCTCTGCCTCCTGAGTGCTGGGATTAAAGGGATGTGTCACCATGCCTGATTGAGAAAGAAACTTTAATTTCAGGAAATCAGAGAGGCTGGGGTGTGGCTCAGTAGAGGAAGACTTTCCTACCATCTAGCCTCAGGTGATTCCCAGGCTGCACTTGGGAGTCAAGGGAAAGGATAGACATGCTCTGTGCAGGAGTTCCTCAATCTACAAGAGCTTGCTTTTATTTTTTCTTGCGTACATATGTTTTATCATGACACAGATGTGTTCGGCAGAACCATATTCCTTGTATAAAATAAAAGCTGTTTGCCTTTAAATCCCACATATTGACTCTAGGTCTGCTGACAGGAACTACGTGGAAAAAAAAAGTAATTACATTCTTATTTGGCAACTTCTCAAGTACTTGAATTATGGCTACAACGTTCTTCTAAAACACAACAACAAGAATTGACCTTTCCAGGCGGAATGCCTCCAGTTTCTTTCAATGGTCCTTGGGACATTCTGCTGATGCATCCCCATCCCTTTGGCAGACTTCTGCAGAAGTGCTAGTTATACAGAGAATACGGTAATTACCTTTTTCTAACTACCCTCTTCCAGAGCAGATTTCCAGAGGCTGAGTTCCACTTTGTCAATATCCCTTTAAGAAGTATGATGCCCAAAATGAAATGCAGCACTCCAGAGCCAGAAAGCAAATGCGTGGCATTCAGCACACTTCACAGAGAGGTTGCCATATGTCACTAAGTGTTTGGGGATCTGTCGTCATTGAAGAGGAAGTAGAAGACTGCAGAGGAGTCAAGACAGAGTCCTGGATAGTGTTCCAGTATCGTTCGGTGTGAAATAAACCCTAAATAAGGAAAACAACAGATGCAGTGTGCTGCTCTCAGTACAAAACTCTCCAGCATGGGAATGCCTTATCATAGTCACAACCTACTGTTGCCTCACAGCTCCCAGGGGAGCTTCCCTGGGGACATGTTAGAAGAGGAAACTGCCTTGAAAGAAATTTCTCAGGCACATTAGAGCAGACAGAAATCAGTTCTGATGTCAGGAACCGTGTTGGAACTGTAAGGAGAGACGGAGAGACCGGGTGTCTTCAGTGAGCTGCGGCAGCCCACGCCAAAAGCCACCTCCGAAGTCCTGAGGGTTTCGCCAACCTCTAGTGTGGGATGAGATGGAGAAATGAGGGTGGAAAGGCAAGAGCTTGTTATCCAGGCAGGTTTGAGTAACAGGGTATCAAATCCACATTTGGCAGATTCAGTACATTCCCCCATGGCTACTCGAAAAGCCGACACAGGAGTCTCCTCTGATTTGCTGTTGATTGTAAGCTGTCTGGCTCCGTGTGATTCTACAAGAGCTTCAGCTAATTCAGAGATTTAAAAGCCCAGCCCAGGGAGCCGCTCATGCATTTATAACGCATCTGAGAGATTATGGGCACTGGAACAGGGAATAGTCCACATTCTCCCGACCTACAGCTGCCAGGCAGCCTTCTGTTCCTAACACATACATAGGCACACACGCAGGACATGGAGGAGCGTGGATTGTGTGTGTTTGTGTGTGTGTTAACAGTCGTTTCAGATCTAAGCCTGATTATTTACTTTCCGAATCTCCTAAGCAAGGACAATCAATTCCGCCTAGTTTGCTATAAAGACTATGCCCAAACAGTGACAAACTGCTTGCTACTCCTAGAAATAGGATCGTGAAATGTGCTTCCTCTCAGTGTGTTTGTGTGCCTTCCTTTATTGCCTTAGCTGGTTTTGAGTCTTGTCTTAAGAAAAAAAAATGACTATGTGGCATGGTGACTCTGGCAGGCATTGTGTACATATCACTCAGGCAAACTGGCGTTTTGGTGGCTGTATGTATGACTGCATGGGTGACACAGCCCAGCTCCAGATGAAAGGTGTGACATTTTTGGATTCTGTAGACACATAGAAGGTTTCTCCCAGATATGTTTCAAGAGAGGTCTAGCAAAACTCCTCTTGTCTGACAAGCCAGCCTGTAGCACGGCATTCCCTCTC